AAAGTGTATATGATCTTTCATCCACTTTGCAAACTCAGATGAAGTCTCAGGACAGCCTGTATCTGCATTGGAGTGTCTTGGTAGTGCATGGAAATGGGTAGTACAAGCAGCATAAGCCTCAAGGCCAGTTAACAAAGGTATAATAATTCCATGTGTATTTAAATAATCCATATCCACATTGTCATTATGAACAGTGTACTCAGAACAAGCATGTACTATTCCAGGACTATCATTGGTGTAGATTCAGAAGAGGGCATCTGAGAGAATATTAGTCTTGTCTGGTGCATATACTATGTTGAAGTCAAATGCACTCATCTTTTCTAACCAATATGCTTGTCATCCAGTTAGATTCTTCTGGTTCATCAGATGAATTAACCCTTTGTGGTCCATTATCCATGTGAAGTGTACCCTCTGCAATATGTTCCAATGTCTCAACATTGTCTCCAGGCCAGCCAGCATCTCTAGTTTATGCACAGCATAGTTCTGCTGTGCTGAACTCAGCTTAGCAGAGTAGAATGCTGCAATTTTACTAGTCTGCCACTCACTTCCTTGTGCTATGTATCCAGCTATACTCACTGAGCTGGCATCAGTAACTATCCAGACTGGTTTATGGTTAAATGAGTAATCTATTGGTACTCAGCTATGGTTTCAGTGATGCCCAACAATCTCTTTGATCTCATTAAAGGCCCACTGCTCTGTATAGGACCAACAGAATGGGACTGTAGAATCCATGAGAGAGTGGAGGATACCCATAGGACCATGAATGCAGGGTAAGTCATCAGCTAGATACTCTACACTTTCAAAAACTCTGATAGAAGACTCTTTGATGTAGGAGTCTTCCAATTAGTTACAGAGTCCACCTTATTAGAGTCCATATGAATATCATTATCATCAATAATCTGTCCTAAAACTTTCATTTCTTTTGGTAGAAAATTCAACTTCAAACTATTCAGATATAACTGTTCTCATTCAACATGTCAAGAATACATTTTACATGCTTTACATGGTCTTCAAGAGAGTTTGAATATATGATGATATTGTTAAGATAAACTTCCATGAATACATCTAGATATAAGGAGAAAATGTGATTCATCAGTGTCTGATATGTAGTGGATGCATTATAATCACTCTGTTATAAAACCAGACTGACCATATTCTCATCTGGAGTAGTAACAGTTGTTCTATCCACATGTTCAGGCACTATACAGATTTGCTTGTAAGCATCTTTTTCATCAATTATGCTCTGATACTTACATTTGGCAACACAATACAAGATGCCTTCAATATTTGGAAGAGGCACAGAGACTTTGTGGATGTTAGCATTATGTGCATGCAAGTTGATGACTGTCTGAAGTAAGTGCTTCAACTTTCCTACTTTTGGAATCAGTAACATTGGTACAGAATTCCCAGTGGTAGTGAGTTTCCATCTACCTGAAGCTAGATAATCCCATCATTTCTGATCCCACTGTAAGCAAAAGACTTCTGGACATCATGAAGGCCTCTATAGGTAGATCTTTTGCTTGTCAATTAGTGGGATAGTGTGGTTGATCATCTTAAGTGGTAGTAATGGAGTCTCTGAGGCTGTCTTACAGATGGAGGCTGCATACTCTCTAAGCTCTATGCAAACTTGGTCAAGTACATTGTCACTCACCATCATTGTCTGAGACTGAAGTTGGCTCACATTATCACCTTCCATAGGCAATGCCATGCTGCTTCCTATTTTGATGGAAGAAGGATTAAAGCTAACATGTACATTGTGCTGGTACAACCATGGTGTGCCTAGTACTAAATCATACTCCAAGAGGTTTGCTATATCAAAGTAATATTCTACTTTAATACCTTGATATTTAAACTGAATCTTAGTTTCACATAGAATCTTAGAACATGAACCTTGTACTGCAAGATGCAAGGGAATTGGAGTTGGCAGATATATTTTGAACACTTTCAGCTGGTCTGCAAGCTGAGTGGACATAAAGTCCCCCAGTGAGCCAGTGTTGATCAATGCTCAGCATGGTTTACCATTAACCTCAACAATGATAACCAAAGGATGAGGTACTATTCAGCCAATATCCTTGACCACTGCTGCATGTTGCTGAATAGCTGGGTATATCTTAGGTTCAATCTGAATGTCTGCTATGCTCATAATATGAGTATAGCTATTTTATTCTTCCCACTGCAAGTTTCCATACATTAGATGCAAGTAACTATCAGCTCTAGCAACTGTCATGTCAAGTTCCCACTCAAATTCATTCATCTCTACTGATTGCAAGAATAGACAAGGTAAGAATTTATACTCAACAGGACCTCAAAGGTGCTGAAGAAGATCTTTATAGGCTTGATTGAGCTTCTTTCTATACCAGTTTGGAAGGTCAAAGTTTGGTTCATCAAGTTCTTGATTGTTACTGAGGTCTTAAACTCTTAGTATACATCATCAATGATGTATTCCTGTGTTGGTCACTTTGGATTTGGGTACACAATATATTGAACTTCATTTTCCAGGTCTTGCTGATCTGAAATAAATGGTACATGCCTTGTTAAGGACTTTCAAACTGTGGTGGCAAGTGGGTGGCCCATCTGAGGGTAATCCATATCTTGAAATGTTGGTACATTATCAAACATAGCTAATTGTCATCCTCAGAATTCTCCAAGACTGAACTGTGAGTCCAGTACCCATTTATAAGGAACTTCTCCTCCTAGACTACAGTCATAGTCAATCCATTTAAACTGATGGTCTGCTTTAGCATCACATAGTGTGAACTGAAGGTGTCTGTGGAGTTTCTGGAAATCCCCTGGATAAGGTTGGTTCTCATGTAGCTTGGTTTCAAGAGCTTCAGCAAGTACATTTCCCATTCATTGCATGCACTACTGCTCTGAGCAAACTTTAATAGCTTCTGCCCACTTAAGCTTCTCAAAGTGAAGCTTGTCTAGTAGTAAGGACTCATATTGCCTTGCTATGAATGCATTCAGGTTCTTTGCAAGCCATCTGATTGCATCAAAATATAGGTTTTCAAGCTATATAGCATTAATATGAAGGACAGCAAGATTCATCTGATCAGTAATTGTAATCTGGTTTCTGTCTGATGTCTTATGAGAAACCTGAAATCTATCATATGGTGAGTTTGGGCTTTCATAGCCTAATTCCTTCAGATCTAGATACATACTAATGCTATGACTCAGAATGAAATGTATGCCTTGCACTATTGCATCTCCAATTTTAGATGAATTGTGGTACCACTATGTAGAGTTATATGGTAATGCCAACAACCTAGCATGCTGTTTTGCATACCATGCACTAATATGAAACTTTGGGTTTTGTAACAGTGAAGCAGATATAGTGAGTTCTCTATGTTCTGACTCAGTATCTGCAATAGTGAAGGTCTTCTGATTCAGGCAGAATACTCCAAAATAGTAGGAGCTTACTGCACCTCAGCATAACTCATCATCAGAGTAAGGTGCATCATAATTCAAGCATATTTCAGCAGCATATTGATGTAGATCATCAATCATATTAGGTCACCACTTTGAATCCATCTCCTGCCACAGTATGAAGTTGGTATAGTCTGTCTCAGGATATCCATAGATATCCTTAGCATTATCAGCCCAGCAATACATAGATTCATCATTATGATATCTTATGCAGGCATTCTCTTCAGACTATAGGTGAGCAAATTTCTCAATCCCAGGCACTGGTAAGGCTTTATTACATTCAATACTTCTGAAATCACAGATAAATGTCTCTAGGTCATCTAATTCTGGTTTGATGGAATTATCAGAGCTAGAATCTGAAGATGTGATATCATTTTCAGATTTGATAGGTGATATGTAGAGCTCAGTGAGCATTCATGAAGTCCACTCACTATCAGTTTCATAGTCTGAGCTTTTAAAATCATCAGTTTCTGAAACAGATTTAAGGTTTGAAATATCTTTATTGAATAGATTATCATTCTGGGACTGACTGTTTTGTTCAGTAGACATGAATATCATTTCAATTGAAATGTGATCAACTGTTTCAGTTGTCTCTGCCAAATTTTGATGCTGGTGATCATCTGCCAAGTCATAATGGATACCATGTGCTGAGAAGCCTAGTGGCCCTGTTTTGTTACTTGACTTTACTGTGTTATTGTGAGGACAATTTCTAGCCATATGTCCTACTTCTTCACATCTAAAGCACTTATTTGCAGTGACAAGTTCTGCCTTCTTGCTTTCTGATAGTTTATTTCCAGAGCTAGAATTTGTAGTAGACTTGCTTCCACTATTGCACCCTCCATTTGATGACTTATTATCTCTGGAAGATGATGAGGGTTGATTGTAGCTCAATGACTGACTATATGAGTTAGATCCTCTCTTGCAGAGTCCATTCTTTTCATAAGAATATCCTTTTGAATGACTGTTATCAGACTTATATTTTTTAGATGTATGCCCACTATTTCCATGGTTATTGCTGTTTCCAGAACCTCCCTGTGATGACTTCTTTTCCTTGGTACTTTGAGATGTAGATTCAAGATCAGCCATTTCAATGAGTTTAGCCTCTTCAACAATACAGTGCCAGCTATGAACCTCCTTATTGAGCTTTGCTTGATAGAGTTCATGCTGCATCTCTCTATGGAATCTGTCCCAAAGCTTGATAATACACTCACACTGGCTAGTCATGCCAATAAGACCATACAAGGTTTCCAGCTCATAAATGTATTCTGAAACAGTGTAATCATTCTGGTAGCACTTTTTTATTTTATTCCATTGCTGACTTCAGTAATTTAAAGGGAAGCATGAATTAAAGATTTCTTGCAGGAAGTCTATTAATGTCTATTCTGCATGGTTCTTCAAAACCTTCTGAATGAAGAAAGATAATGCCTTTCCCTTCAGGTAATGTGATGCCAAAAATACCTGTTCATCCTTTGGAATCTGACCTTCTTTGCAGAATTGAGTCAATTCCATTGTGAAGTGATGGAATTTTTCACTATCAGCTGTACCATCATATGGTGTAGGAGGTATTGGTCAAATCAATCTTTTGCAGTGACATTTTTGACTTCTATGCTTATGCCAATGGGAACTATGCCTTCTAGTATGATGATGATAGTGTCAACATCTATGATTGAATGGCTCAGAGCTATCTGATGCATTCAACTCATTGCTTGCATCACTGCTACTTGAGCTCAATGAGCTCAAACCAGTGCTTGAGGAACTATCATCTGATGGAGAAGATCCTGAATAATTAGAGTCTGAATCTGAGTTGGACTTATTACTGGAAGTAGACTCTGATGATTCAGAGCTAAAGGAACTAGTATGATGCTTATGCTTCCATTTCTCAAGCTTTTTCTTATTGAGTTTCTTTTTGTGCTCAGATGAGATCTTCTGCTTCTTCTTTGATTTGCCAACATCTAACACATCAGCCAAGAAGCTATCAGATGGTAGCTGATCTACAGGGCAAGTAGACCTATGTCAGCTATTTGAAGGTGCCTTTGAGTGTTCTCATATGATGTTTCTCATTCTATGATTGGTCAATGATCTGACAGTCTTTCATTTTGAAGATTTTGCACTTGTCTTAGAGAGTGTCTTTTTTGATTGAGACTCTGCCTTCAAATCTGACTCAGAACCTTCATCTGATGTTTCTTCTACTTCAAGAGCATCATAGTGGCCTGTTTTGTGAATCTTTGTCTTTGGTTTTAATCTCTGAGATCTTTCTTTCTGTTTGTTATGCTTAGAAGACTTTCTGACAGTCGTAAAACTATCTTCAACCTCTGGATGACCCTCCAAATGGGACACATCACCTTCAGGGACTTTTTGATTGATGTCTCAAGCCTGATTCCATGTTTCAAGAGCCTCACATTGTGCCTTGACATCTAATTCAGTGTCATCAATCTTCTGATTATGGTTGACAAATTTTTCTTTAGCAATATAAGAGCTGGATCCAGATGTAGTCATTGGAGTCTGAGATGCAGTAGGTTGCTCTTGGCCCTTGTCTTCTGTCAGCTTGTTCTGACATTTGGCAAGCATTTCTTGCTGTGCAGTTGTCAAATTCCATTCAGCCATATCAATGATAGAAGGCTATTTCTTCATAAGCTCTCTTCCTTTGTGTAGTCCTCCAAAATGAACTTCACATTTTTCCAGGTCATCAAGACTCTGAGTATAGCAAAGCCTCACAGGTCTTGCCATTCTATTAGATTCTTCTGCATCTGTACTATGGGATGCTTTATCAAAGGTAGAAGATGTAGATGATTCATAATCATTTCCATTATCTACATCACTACAGGATGAATCATTATCTGAAACTTTTGTAGTTGGATTTCTCTTGAAACCAACATCCTCCAATTTCTCTGAGTGATTTGAATCCTCTTCTTCTGCTTGTGCATAGGCAAGAGGAAGGTTTCTCAGTGCTGTAGCATCAGATGCTAAAACATGGCTTACAGCTGAAACAGGAGTAGCATCCTGAGCACTCACAGCACTAGAATCTGCCATATTTTTAGTATCAAAGTCTGTTGGTGATTAATCATCTGATAACAGAGTTAAAGGACTATCCATCCCTGATGTAGCTGGCACAACAGTGGTGTTGTGATGGCTGCACAAAGAGTAATGTGATATCCTAAGGAACCAAGAAGTAAAGAGAAAATTAGATATTGGTGTCAAAGTCAGAATATTCTTAAGTGATCAAGTCATAGGGAATCCAGATATCAATGAAGAGAGATATAGAGAGTTTAGAGAGAAAAGCACAGATGAAAGAGAGAAAAAGATAAAAGCAAAGATTAAGCCAATAGAGCTGTCAAAAATATGAGAGGGTGGCAAAAGTCACTTCTCTCATAAAAGGCTCATGCAGTTGCTGATAGGTGTATAGGCTTGGTCAATTGTGAAAACCTCTAGCTACAATACATATACTGGCTTATATATATATAGTGAAAATAACAAATATAGGCTAAACTAGAGAGACAGGAGAAACAGAGAAAAACATCAGGTAAAAGTATTGGGCCATGGAACAACTCATAACACCAATGCAATGTGATGATATTGTCACATATGTTATATGTCACAACAAATACTATTTTGGTTCTGCATAAATCTATAAATGCATATGGTTTTAGTGTCTTCCAACTATATGCATTGTGAGATAGTCAACTGTACAGCAAGAGCTAGATTACTTATATACTGTTTATATCTAAGATAAATATATATCTGCTAATTATATATTTCTATGCTATAGTGTTCTTGTCTCAGTTATCATTACTATTACAAAAGGAGTATTATTTGTCTTTGAAAGATCTGGTGCTGTTGCAGGATAATGAGCTCAGTCTGCCTATTATAGTTGCATAAGCAGATTATATGGTACTTAGCACTTAGTTAAGTGCTTTGACTAAGTGAAGATAAAGATTAAAGAAAAAGAAAAGGTGAAAAATTATAATATATAGGCTCATCTATGGGCTCATCAGCTGATGTCAACCTTGACAGTATCAGCATCAGCATCAGCAGAAGAGACTATGAAGCAATGGAGAGAGTACTGACCCCTATTCTGAGACTATGACATTTTGTCCTGAGGTTCCACCTGCCCTTTTTATGAGCCCAGCAAAGAGGATGAAATCTTCAGTTTGTCTACTCTCTCTATTCCCTCTATCCTCTGGCATCCTGAATCTGCCCACAAAATCAACAACAAAGCAGTCTAAAGGATCCTTAGAACTAAAACTTTCAGATTTCTTAGAAATTGAGAATTTCTTCACCTCATCTATCAGTACCACAAGCACATGGAGAGCAAAGCAGAAGAACTCCAAGGAGACTCTGGCCAACCCATTGCAGGGCCCTCTCAACCTTGAGTATAGTCTTCTACTTGATCTGGATCCAGCCAATCAGGGCAACTCTCCAGCAACAGTGAAGATGCAGAGAGTACCCTTGACATTTGTCACATCCAAGGACTACCAAGGAGAAGAGGATAAAGAATGAGATAAGGAGTGGATCAGGAATAGACTGAGAGCATTAGAAGGAATTTAATAAGCTATTCCAGGAGTAAGTAGCAGAGATCACATGGAATATTGTCTGGAGAGTAACCTCTCTGGGAAAGAAGTATTTAATAGCTGATGATCAGGAGAAGATTGATATCTTGCAGTATAATACTATTAAACAGGCAATCTACCTGTTCAACAAAGAATACTCTAAAGAACCCATAGAAGAGTTGTTGCCATATCACCTATGATATGAACTCTGACTCATGCTGAACATGCCTCTGATCTCACTAAAATGAGCCATCTATATAGCACCATCAATCTACTCTATGGCCTACTCAGTCTCATAAACCTTATTTCCACAGGCTGTGCTGTCTCCTATGATATCCATGGCCACAGGGCTGTGGAAGCTGACTGTTTGCCAGACAACCACCTGCTGATGAACCTGGACCTAGCAACCAGCAACAAGCCAAAAAAGGCCAGGATGATCTTGATGCTAAAAACTTTGAGATCATCAACAGAAGGATCAAGAAGAAGTGAGGGCTAGGGGTGAGGAGTCCAGTCACTGATGACCATTCTCTGCACTCTCTCCCTGGATCTCCTAAGGAATGGAGATACCTGCCATTCAACAAATATCTGAACTTAATGGGCACTTTAGCAACAGATGCCCTTCTCATTCAGTGCAAGCTGAAACTTATGAGAAAGCCCTACTCCTTCAAGAGGATATCCAATGACATTGACTGATTTTTAGTAGACTATGAGGTATATTTTCAAGTCTATGTCATTTACCTAACTGCTGACATCTTCCACATCATCTTTGCTGTCTCTTACTTTGAGAATAAGACAAAGAAATAGTGGATCATGACTCTCATGGATCTCTACTCTGAAACCAGGGGGCACCATTGACTGCCATCCTGGAAGGACTTTAAACAGGCTGTATGCAACAAGTTCACCAATCCAGCTATCCAAGACATACATAAAGCAAAAATGTATGAACTACATATAAGCAACAAAACTACCAACAAGTACTTCTGCAAGCTGGAGCATCTGGCCCATCTTCCTGATCTCCAACATGACATAGAGGAGACCAGTCATATGGTCAAAGCCCTCAAACACAGAGTCCCACTCTCCTATATAAAGATGATCTCAGACATCAGCCTCAATATGCTGAAAGAGTACAAAGCCTGGAAAAAACAGATCACTATAATGAATCAGGAATGACAATGGCAGAAGGTGGTCAGTTCAATGTATCAGACAAACAACAAAAAGAGCAGTCAGAGGACAGCAAATAAGAGTGCCCAGAGTCAGCAGAGAAGTAGAACAACTAGTGAGTCCTATGGCAAGAAGAAGACATCCATCAGAACAATGTATACTGGATAGGAGAAACCAATGGACATTGACCAGATGAAGAAGAAAGAGAAGTGCTTCAATTACAGTAAGAAGAGTCACCTTTCAAAAAACTGTCTGAAGAAGAAATGAACCCATGAGGAGATATAAGCACAGATCATGAAGTTACAGAAGAAAGCAGAACACTATAGAGGAAAACAGCAAGGACATGAAGATTGAGAAGGTAAAAGACAGAGCTGATGAGTGAGTGATTCCACTCAGTCAGCCAAAGAACTTAATGATATGTCTCTGATCACTACTGGATGGACTCATGATAGCACTATGGATACAATATATTTACACATGCATTCAAATATATCCTTGTCTTCTGCACTATGATCACCAAAAGAATTGCACAAGAAGGCTCAACCACCTATGGGCTGAACAGAGGGAGAGACCTCTAATGAATGGCTCAAACTATTTGGCATGGAGTGAACTTGGCATGCCATCTGTGATGCCAAAACAGAAGAGAAAGTGAAGGCAGTACTCAAAAACTGGGTACACAAGACATGAACAGAAGAAGTGATTGATGAAATGATAAAAGGAATGAGGAAGACAGAAAGGAATTGAACACTGGAATGGCTGGACAAGCTCCAAAGGCCCTAAAGGTATATTTAGCAGCAAAAGATGACTGGCAGAGATCTCATCACAAAGGTCCAGATCAAAACCCTGACAAACCCACTCTATGCATACCATTTCAGCCCTGATTGATAGCAGCTGTACAGAAAGTTTAATCAACTGTACCTTCATCATCAAGCACAGTCTTCCTACTCAAGCCACTGCAGCTTCTATACCAGTACACAATGCTGATGGAACCTAAAACCAGGCCAGATTGATTACTGAGTTCATAGAACTGTAATTAGTCATAGGGAATCACACAGAACACATCAATCTGGTGGTCACAGACTTAGAATCCAAGAAAATCTTTCTTGGATATGACTGGCTGATATAGCACAATCCACTTATCAACTGGAAGACCAGCAAAATCATCTTTGCCTAATGCTGATGCTGCAAGACTTTCTTCATATTACCAGATGAAGACAAAGACAACTGATAAGATGAGAAGATGGAGGAGGGAGACACTATCCTCACAGTTAATATAGAGCAAGCAATCTATATATGGGTCATACATTATGTGAATGATCTAGCTGCAAAAGCCAATATGAGAAAAAAAGTGAAGACATTCAAAGAAATAGTACCAGAGTGGGCATGGGACTTCTGTGACCTCTTTGTTAAGTCCAAGTCACACATGATCTGAACACATGATAATCTAATGCTGTATCAAGTTTATACAGTCATGCTAGAGTTCACTTATATGTCTCTATTGATCTAGTGCTTCAAGGCCAAAGATGATCAGCTTGAGATGAAGTGGTAGAAGAATAAACTTTAGCTCAAAGCTGGAGATATACAGCAAGAGCTATCCTACTTATATATAGTTCAAGTCCAAGTTAAATATATCTCTACTAATTGTGAGTTTCTATGCTATAGTGCTCTTTGTCCTTGAGTATTATTACTGCCTACAAAAGAGTATAGTCCATTGTTGAGGGTTGTTGTCATATTGAAGGACAATAGCAGACTCAGCCTATTATAGTGACTAAACCTGTCCCATGGTTCTAAGTGCTAGTCTAAGCACTCTGACTAAGTATAAATAAAGGTTAATTGAGAAAGATAAAAGAAAAAATCATAATATTACCTCCCCCTTAAGACCATTGTCCTGATAGC